TTGGGTTGAAACAACCCAGCATTTTTTAGAGTGCAGCTTTAACAAACCTTGATAAAGAAACCGAGCAGGCCCCCAATATTATATATGGTATAAAACTGCATTTTAAACTTTACAATAACATGCAGAATATACCATATTAATGTATTTGGATACTTTATGATGATGCGTATAATCCAAAACCATTAAAATCATAATTATGATGGGCCATTTTAATTTTACTTAAAATTTTCCGTATTGTGTCATTTTTTTTTTTTATTAATTTTTTTCAAAAAGTAGCTTGAGATCAATTCTGTGAGATTACCCAGATGGGTAGAAGCTAAGATCACAGACACTTTTCCTTGTATATGACATGTGCGGCTTCTGTTGAATGTGATTTCAAGTGATTTCCTATGATTAATTGTCAGACTGTACTAGACTGTATCATTTTACCATTCCAAATGTTCAACTATACACATCCAACATTAAAAAAAGTCTATTAAAGAAATAAGCCCTGTGAAGTCGTGGTTCACAGAGATAAAATGGTTACTGCATATAGCTGGTAAGGTTTCATAAAATAGACACAGCAACACAATTTTAATAACTAATAGTTGATAACAATAATAATAATAATCCTTCCACCAAGCAATGTAATTTTTCAGCAATGTTTAGCAGAATGGTTGTCAAGCAACACAGAGACGCAGCATCACCAAAGACTTTAGTTAGATATATGAAGACAATAGCAGTGTTCGAAATCGGCCACCACACCCTCAATCACTATTGTTCTGGTGTACTTAATTTGGGGCTGGTTTGTAAAAGTTTGCAATCATGGCACATCCAGTTAGAATGCAAGGACTCTTCTTCAACAGTTATTCTCCACTGTAGACAGATGCAAGTATGTGTGTTTTTTTAGCTGCACGAACAACTGGAAATCAACTTTGTGGAAAACACTCCACACTAAACGTCCCGATGCAAAGCACTTCTTCTTTCTTGCGGAACTACTTACAGGGGACGCTAAAGCTGTACTGATTCGTAGTTTGAGCTGTCAGTTAGAAAGCCCACCAACGACAGTCACTGTTCATTATTAGTTATCACAGACCTTCATAACAACTATTCTTCACATTAGTCCACTAATATGCAGTCCACTTAACGCAGTGAATGAAAACAAGTGAGCAAATTCAGACACTGAGCGTGCCGGAAGGGCTGCAGCTTTTACATAGTTTGTGCTTGCTGTTTAATAATCATTTGAGATGTATCAAACTATATCACATTCAATCAATCACTTTTATTTATACATCACATTTAAAAACAACACACACTCTAAAAAAGGGACAAACCCAGCTATTGGGTTGTTTGTTTTGACCCAGCGGTTGGGTTGTTTTGAACCCAACCGCTGGGTCAAAACAACCCAATAGCTGGGTTTGTCCCTTTTTAACCCAGCGCTGGGTTATATTTAACCCAGCATTTTTTAGAGTGCATGATACCAGGGCCTAACACGTCTAGGATTATAAAACCAAGTATAAAATGAGATTATTATTAAATTAAGTACAGTTGAAGTGAGAAAAGATAGTCTTTAAATGAGAATAAAATGAACAGATTTATCTTGAAACTGGAAACTAGCTAAACCCTAACCCTAACCTTAATTCAGGGCTGTTCAATTAGCTTAATTTGAGGGCGAGATTATCAAACTGAAACTTTGAAGGGGGCCAAGGGGGTGGGGGGCCATTGCGATCTCTTTCTGGGGGGCCTATAAAATTAGAAATTAAATTGAAATGCATATTCAGCAGTAAATTTAACTAATACTACCAACAAACATCTATAAAAGGTTAAAATTAGTCCTGTCAATCGATAAAAAAAAAACCAATCACACATTTTTATGTAATTAATCACAATTAATCGCATATTATATAAATGTGTGTTTAAAGGCATCTTTTTACTATTAAGACCAGTATCATTGATTCTGCAATGCTAGGAGCTGAGCAAAGGCGAGATGAGGTGGATCCACGTGCAAGCTGAGTTTATTAACAAATGAAAAGCCTAACAAAACCAGTGTTTGGGGTAACGCAAGTTACGTAATCAGATTACTTTTTTAAAGTAACGAGTAAAGTAATGCATTACTTTTTTAATTTACAAGAAAATATCTAAGATACTTTTTCAAAAAAGTAACGCCAGTTACTTTGTTTTCCCATTTATTGACTGACAAGTCTCCTGTCCCCATATTGGGCGAAATCGGAAGTGCAGAGGAGTTGTGTGCGCTGTGTGAACATGATGTTACTGTAGTTCTAGACTAAATGTGAATGTGCATTAATTCATCCCTCACAAAAAACTTAAGTATTCATCGAAATGAATTAAAACAGTGAAATGCAAACTTAGAATATGAAAACCTGCAATAATTAAATATGTTAAATAACACAAATGTATCTAATCCCATTTTATTAACCAATGTCTTTGCTGCTGACCTTTGATGATCCAGTTCAACCATACTAATAAGCAAAAATGACTTTAGAGAAACTAACAATTGTGCTTCATTGTTTTTTTTATTGCTGAAGAGTGTTTCTTCTCCTGCGTTCTACTGTACAGACGTGAATTTACTTTTCCTTCAGCCTGACTTTCATTACATTACACTTTTTGGTGTGAAAGGGCTTTTACATTTGCTATAAATAGAACTTCTTATATTAAAAACAATCAAGCCCTGCTCATATTTAAAAAGTAACGCAAAAGTAATGTAACACATTACTTTCCATAAAAAGTAACTAAGTAATGTAATTAGTTACTTTTTTAGGGAGTAACGCAATATTGTAATGCATTACTTTTAAAAGTAACTTTCCCCAACACTGAACAGAACACAAGAGAACATCTTTTGGTTCATTTTGTTTGCGTTTGTCATTCTTATTTTTCCCTGTTACATTTGCACCTGGGCCACAGTACATTACATATCATGCATGCATTTTACATTACACCACTGACTTTACTAATGGTCATTGTTTACATTAACACTCGTTTGTTTCATTTCCTATTTTGTTATTAAATCTTGAGTTACTTTCAATATGTGTGTCTCTTTCTTCGTTTTGGCCTTTTGGAGCAACAGGTCATAACAAAATGGGGGCTCGTCCATAACACATTTTTAAATAATTTAAGCATTCATGAAGATCAATATTATTATCCCCCAGGTCATAGTAAGAAGCACATTGTGTAACTTATTCATGTAAAAAATACTGTAGTGGTCATGGTTACAACTGATGTCAACATAAACAAGGAAAACAAGAAAAGCGGGTTTCTTTCATGTCGTCAGAAAATACGTAGGCTAAGAGCTATAGATACACGCTGTAGAGAGCTAAGTATTTGTGCAGTTTTACTCAACCTCGAAACCAAGACTGAAATATGCCTGGATGATTTGCTTTCACAATGAAAGTGCGGCATTTTGTAATAGTTTTATTGCTGGTGTCCAATATAACATTTTCTTCAGGTTTTCTGGATGTATTCGTGGCTGCCGCATCTGTGGTTTACACATATTTTGAACGGGATGATCTGCTGCCTTTTGACTCTAAACGTGAGTTAAACTGCAAAATAACATACACTGTAAAAATAAAAATAAAAATCTGCTACATTTACGGTAAAATACCGGCAGCTGGTTGCCAGAACTTCACCGTTAAAAATATAGTAGCAACATTTTAGGTTTTACAGACTTAACTCAAATTCACAATAAAAAACGTATTTCATTAACTGATGTAATGTTAACAAACCAGCATATTGAAGTACTAACATCTGTTTTGAACCATTGTAATACTGATAACCACCAAAAACAGGTGGTGATGAGAAAGTCAAATGATGACTCAAAGCTCATCACAGACAGCTCTTCCACAAGCTGAGAAGGGAAATACTAATATATATATATATATATATATCAGTGGCGGTTCGTGGGTTTTAAAATAGAAGAGGCACACTAATTGTATTGGTCTGGGATCCCTGCCGATGATTATTATTATATTATTTGCTTTAACCACTTTAAAATGGCTTTTTGGTTGCTTTTAGTCAGAAAACGTAAAGAAAACGACATACATACAGCAAGATAATATAACTTCACTTACCTGGCCTATCACTTGAAGCAAACATCCATCCCTTCTTAAAAGTCTGTGTTAAAAGAGAGCTGGCTGTTGCGCCATTTAATTAAGCCGACTGCTGTAGCCTATATCCAGCTTAGGCTGTTTTCCCTACATTTGTATATATGGGTGTTTCTTCAACTAGGGGCACTTTTATCCTTGTGGAGTTGAATAAAAAAACTTGTTCAAAAGTCACGTAACACAGTCTCATAAGTTTAAATAATTTGTCTAGTTTTAAGGTCTGTAAGAGGACAAACTTAGAGAAATTGTTAATATTTTACATTTTTTCCAACCTGCAATGAACAAATGTCATTTCCACCGCATCTCAATATACAGCTGTTATTTAAAAATAGAATAATTTATGCCACTCAAGAATTGTCTAAGATCATTTTTGTAACTAGTTTTACCAATTTTCCCACAATGTACAATAATTATACATTTGTCAATGAGATAAATGAGCTGCCCTAAGGACCAAATGCTGAACTGTACACCTGTCACACTATGAAATGTAATATTGGTTTGGGTAAGAGCTTATTAGAAAATAAATACCTTGAATTTTTATATTAAGTAGAGCATGATCTCATAAATTGTGGATACATTTTTAATGTGTGATGAGAACTTTTTAAATATTTTTAAAAATGTGTCTGGTGATGGAAATGACAGGGTGTTGTGGAAATGACAATGAATGAACGTGAATGTAGAGAAACAGTAGAGATATTTATTAGAAAAATTCTTAAACTCATCACACTCATTAAACTCAATTCACAAAGGCATTAAACATAACCACACCTGTTTTAGTGTAGTGCTGAGTTTGATGTATAAAATGGATTTGTCTCAAAGATTAACGGTTACAGTGCATACTGTAAATAACTGACACAACTGATGGCAAGGCAAAAATATAAGCAATAAATGATGCATCAAAATTTCAACATTGTGAGATAATCATGAGGCTATATAATTGTGAGAGTTTGATACTGAAATATTCTCATTGGTCTCTTTTTTTTTTAATCTCCTCTCGTCTATTTCTTTGATTGATTCTCCATTGTCTCCTTTGTTTGCATTGCTCCCGCTTTGACAGATCTGCAATTGCTTTTACTACTCCTTTTTCTTTTTTCCTCAGGTATCTCTCCCTGTCTCTTTTAAGTCTCTCTTCATATTTTATAGGGCCAGCTTTTATTTGGTCCCTATAGGCCTGTGACCTTTCTTTTGTTGTCTTAGGTGGCATCTTAAAAATAGATAAAAATGAAATCAATTAATATAAAAGTAATATAATTTAGAAATAAAAATAATATCATAATATAAATATAAAAAGTATTGTAATATATTATAATATAAAAAGTATTACACAAATCTACTCTCGCAATCCATATCAATTGTACTTTGTAACCATAAATGACATTTCTGTAGTTTTTTGTGAAAAAATGGAAGATAGCTACACTGATTAGCTTTGAATTAATACTTAGCATTTCATGCATGCAAAATACTCTTATTTAACTTAAAAGTGTTTTGCTTTTTAATAACACCCTTGAAGGTACAGCATGTTTGGAAATGACAATATATTAACCGATCAAGCAATATTTACCTTGATTTTTCTTCATTTGCTGTTGATGAAAATTTAAATTCCCTCCATGTCCAACATGTGCTCTGATGTCACTGAACATTTCCATAAACACCACCTAAACAATCTTTCACACAAACTTTGTAAAGGGACATTACAGTGTTGTGGTGGAAATGACACCAATACTGTGCGACAGCTATATTTTGTATAAAAAGTAATATTGATCGTGGTCTCACATTAAATACTATTATGTATTTTTATTATTTTACTAGTGCTTAATTCAGGTACATTAATAGTTACCAGATAAGTCATATTTTTAAACTGTATTTTCATTGTTGAAGTTTAAAAGTCTGGGTGTGCGACAAGGAGAAAACAGTGATTTTGACGCCTATAAGGAGGTTGAAAAGTATGAAAAAATCATAATAGAAAGGTAGTAAAAAAATGTAAGGTGGTTTTATTGTTAGTTTCACTAAGAAAGAGGAATTTGTCCAAAATTATATGTATTTTCATAAATATGACCAAAGAACATAAAAGTGCCCATAGTCTAAGAATCACCCATATACTGTTTGAATGACAGCTTGGTAAATCTGTTGGCAAACAAATATTCAATATCGCTACTCATCATAACTACTAGGTACATTATCAGCGCAGCGGCAGACATTCAAACTAATGGGCTTGTTTGAGATGAGCAAATTCTGCGCAGAATCGATCACCGGTGATCACCGCGAGATGCATGCTGGTTAGAAAAGTGTCCGAGTTACGTCCGACTTGCTCTGATGTCATGCTGACGTGTGCAAAAAAACTCTCGTGACGGCGAGGCGGCTGTGTCGGATTGTGCAGTTGCTCTCCAACGACTGCGCTGATCAAAAACATGATGTGAAACAACTGACTGACAACATTGGTTCAGACAACTGTGATGCTGCGGTTCTCTTCTAAAATTTTTTATTTTTATCTGATTTCATATGATTATGTATTTAAATTATGCATGAATGTTCCCAAACACTATGACAGCGCGATCTCTGTGTGAGATAATGTGATTGTTGTCATATTTCTATAAAAATCAAAAATACATGTTTGTGTTCAAGTAAATACAGACTCAGACTATGTTTAGTGTTTGTGTGAATGACACTGTGCACCTTCTACACACACACATATATATATATTGGGGCCTCCCCCGACGAACCGCCACTGATATATATATGTGTGTGTGTGTGTGTGTGTGTGTGTGTGTGTGTGTGTGT